AATGAGGCATGTTTACAAATTATTCATTGTATAAACATATTTTTGTTTTATCATCTATAAAAATTCCTTTTTCATTTATAATTATTATGTTATTAAGATATAAACTTTTATTAAATATTTGTATTTCCTCAAACTGTTAATATTTGTTAATGTAAGTTACTGAATTTATTAAAATGAATTTTGAAATATTTATAAATATTTTATTTTTTCAGACTTCAAAATATGTTTTTTATAAATACAGTAGAAATTTAACAGTTAAAATTATAAATATTGAAATATTTCATATTTTGTACGCCATCAATAATAACTAATTTATTTTGCAGTAACAAAACTTAACATTTCAAAAGAAAAATTAACTTTTGAATTGAAATTATTACTGTACTTAGCCTAATTTACAGATAAAATTGTGATAATTTATTTGTGAGACTTAACATTTTAGTATCAAAGTTTAAAATATGTTAACTTTTAAGAGAATAGTAAATTAGTTGACACACATTACTGGTAGTTTATTTGTTGTATTTTTTACTCCTATCATAAAATTGAAAATGATAAAATATTATAAAGTGTCAATCATGTTTAAAGAAAAAACGAAGTATTCAAACATCCATATTACTTTATTTAAAATCTTACAAAATAATTGTTTATACTTATGAATTAATTTCTATGTTAACTATAAACATGAATAATATGATTAACTATAAAGAGGATCTTATTTAGACTACTGCCATGTTTTGCAGTTTGTACGTTGTAACTCAGGTAGTTAAAAAGGATGGAAACATTTTTAACAATCAAACATTTGGTCCCCTTATTTAATTAAAAAAAATTAACCCACATTTTACGCAGTATTTACTGACTTTTTCAAAATATTTCCATAGTCCTTAGGGCTTAGACCACCACCACCGTTCATTTCCAAAACTTCATTATACAAATATGAATTATGAGATAAACAAAACTGTTAGTTCAATAACACTATACACTGTATAGTGCTTTCAGACATATATTATATGTAGGTAATACAGCGTAATAAATTATTACTATATTTAAAAAAAAACCGGTTTTGTTCAATATTTTTTAGTTTCCATTAAGGTCAATAGCCTGCGTAAAAACAACGGTATAAACACGTACGTAAATACAAAACAGTGTTTACAATTATCAGAAACTTTCAAATTTAGTATATAAAAATAATCATCATAAGTAGCTATAATAGTTATATATTTAAAAATGATGCAATATGTATAGATAGATAACCTACCCGGAAGTGGTGTACCTGAGCAGAGCTCATTCAAGGAGGTAGGTTGGCGATTTTMAAGGCGTGCTCAAGCGAAAATAGTGCACTCGGAAAAATCAAATTTTGGCATCACTAAAATAATAATGTTATCACAGTCTTGTAAATGCCGCCTAGACATTGGCCTATTTCACCTGCCCTTTGTTCCTGACTTGGTGATATTAAAACTGAAATGTTTAATGCACGTCAAAATATTTCATACTCTATTCGCCAAAACAACAAATTATTAATATGCTCTTAATACTTCGATAATTATACAATAATGCACAAAATCATGATGTACCATTTAGCCATCGATTGCTGTTGTATCTATGCATGAAACTAGAAAACAACACTGCTATAAAGTGCTAACATACAATGGGGTGATCGGGAATCAAGCCATTGCCCTTACTCCTCAAATACGCAACCTCTACTTTTTCGATCAAAGCTTTAATGATAAGCTACTGAGTTACATGTCGAGTACTGGTACAATGGTACGTAATGCCTACTTATTACTTACGTTAATGGATTTTTTCTACATTGATGTAAACGATTTAATTGTCAATTGCTTACAATGATGAATTATCTACAGAATTAAAAACTTAAACGCTTTATAATTTAAAAAAATAAAATTAGAATCAATGGTTTTTACTATTTAAATTATCACACCCATTGATATTGATGTAGATATATTGTTAAAATATATAGGAAAAATATGCGTATATATAAATTAATTACCTATAATGTCTATAATATTATTTAAAAAATATGCAACATTAAACTCGAAAATAAAATAAAAAGTATCCCATCACTTACGTAGGTGTTATATTTATTTTAGTCAGCGGTGTGTACCCAGGAATGAAAATCTCATTATTATTATAAGGTTCAATGGGGGGGTTATGTTTTTTGAGATTAATATGTATTATGTTTTACCTTATGTTAGGTCTATTTAATATAAAAAATCAAAATCAAAAAAAGAACAAAAATGTAATACAAGATCAAAGTCTTTGATTCAAAGATAAGTTGTTCTTACAGAAATTTAAAAATATTGAAAATTCAATAATTCTTGTTTGAAGTTCAGATTTTTACAATTATTTAGGTACYTACTTATTATTTTTTTGCATACAAATATGTTTTCAAAATATTTAAATAAATATTTGATACTACGGACCTATTCGTACCATTCTTTTGTTCCTCGGTATAAGCAACTATAGGTTAGGAAATTTTCTTTATCTATATGTTCATAATAGCTATTATAGGTATGACATACGTGCAATGTAATATTTTAATAAATTGTTGTAGGCATTATATAATAATGTGGACGATTTTAAAATTAGTTTAACCTATCAATTTTACCTAGGTACCATATTTTTGTATATTACTATTGACAATTTATTCAATTAATGTATAATATTATCAAATAGGTATATCTACATAACTAGACTGTAGTGGAGCCTCAAGATGTCTTTATTACCTACCTATATTTCTGAGCATTATTAATGTTGATGTATAATATTAAACTATAAACACAGAAGGTTGTTATAAATAACTACTACTTCATACGTGCTTCACTCTTCACTCATKAATATTTTRAGTTTGATTAGTACCTAAAATCGCACAATAGCGGCATAAGGGAAACTCGCAAAATGTTAGTGTACTAGTATTTTATAAACATAAAATACTTTACTATAATTAGCTACTTGTCCGATGATCAATTACTATATATAAACGAAAATTCTCAGAAAAATATTCAGCTTCGTACCTAGTATGAAAATAAAATTGAATTGTAGGTAATATGTTGTCCAAAATAATAAAAAAGTAAAAATTAATCAAAATAAAAATTGTCAAAATGGTAAATGTTGTTGTTTTATGGGTTGCTTTGTGTGAGCTGCACTATTTACGATGATATTAAAATTAAGTGGTTAGATGAAACTGAGGTATTGTAATAGTGGTGACTTACTGGTTTTATTAAACTATTTTTCTGTACTACAATGTCTGCAATCACGTCAAACGATATTATTAAAAATTAAACAAACATTTTAATTGTAATTATAAATTATAATTAATCGGATACAATACAAAAATAAGAGAACAAAGAWATAGTTACAATTTATTTTTATTCAGTTCCATTTCTAGACTTGCATTAGCGTTGGTTATTTGTTTAAGTTTTTCATTCAAATTATCTATCTGAGACTTTATTTTTAATTCATCGCGTTTCGAATTCATTTCTATGATTTCAGCTTCTTTATTTAATTTATTGAACTCTTCATCATACAAATTCTAAAATTAAAATAATATATTAAATTAAAAATAAATACATAGATATTAGATATACAATTATATAAAGCYATTTTAAAGTTTTAAACTTCATAGATATATGAAAAGAAAAAACTGTAAATTACAATTATAATTTAACATTGTAAAAAATAGGYYAGGTTAGGTGAATACAATTAAAATAATGTACCATAGAGCTTGTAAGTTCTATTTCTTCATTTTCTAAGTGTTCTAATGATCCATAAATATTTTGATGAACTAAATCTTAAATATAAAATGTTAATAGATTAATTATTTGTATAAAAATGTAAGTACGTGTTATTTMTACACTTATTGTGTTAGGTAACTGATGGCTACAATACGGTGATGTAGGTACATATTTCGGATCAATTATTTACTATACTAACTATATTATAATTTATATTTTTAATATTAATTAATATATCGACAAAATAATGTTTATTTTATAAAATATTGTACCGAAGATTTTAAACCTCAAATATTATATTTAATTTAGTAGATACCAAACTAGTTCAAGGTTATTTACCATTGATAGTATTTTCTATACATATATATATTTCTGCAAACTGTAGTTTAAAAATCTTGTATGTGTTTATGTTATTTTTATAARACGTAATAACATTTMTTGCCACAATAATATCATTGGATTTTTTTTTAACCATTGTTTCCACCATCGATTTTTTTCTTTTAATTTCATCCATGATTATTTCTTTACGTTTTGTTAGTAATTTGTCATGTCTATTCTGAATTGTTTTTARTTTATCATATAATAACATCACCTGTCATTTAAATAGTTTTATTTAGATAGGGCCATTGGGTAAGACTGAATTAATTTAGTAAAAYRTTTTAGAATAATTGTAATAGAAGTATGGAACCAATCAGTTTTACCAATACAGCATCGAATCTACTACCTGTAGTCATATATAGTTTAGGTACTTATATTGAAACCTAGTTTCAGGTTTTTAAACATATGTTTAGKAAACCTTATGTTGTGGTAGTGTTGAGATAGGTACTTAATTAGGTATGCTTGCTTATTAGTTTTTAATATAGATTTCTACTATTCAAAATATATCACCGAAATATTAAGGTTAAAAATTCTGTCTAAATTGTAATTATAATAAGTACCTTAGTTTATGGCCTAATATTAAAATACGTTTTTAAACCGGAAAACGCTTGCAGAGCGAGCTACCCTAACTTGTTTGTTGGAATATTTTTATGTTTGCTTTTTTAATGGAAATTTAGCCAAAAAACTTCAAAATTTAAATGAAATTAATATAWCATTATTCTGTTTTATGATACGTAGACTTAAGTAATATACAATCCATACCCATGATGACATTATGTTTGTATAGCTCTTGGGAACTGTGRGTTCTTATTGYAATCTATGTTAGGTACGCTCCTGGGAGTTGCCACATTCTTTACAATATAAAATAATTTGTGTAAGAGAAGAGCCGAAATGTTTGCCAGTTAACATGTGCGATGTGCCTATAATACAAGCGCCGAAATGTATAATTCGGTTAGGTTACACTTATGACGATACAACCCAAACGGTTCCCATAGAAAAAGATTTCACAAACGTTTCTGGTAATTCGCCGAGAAGGCTTAAAAGGCACTGGTGYCGTGACTTGGCTCAATTAAATCATATATAGTCGATTGAATCTGAGTGTTATTTATAGCTGGGTGACTTCTCACCCTCCTATTTTAAGTTCTTTGTACTATTACCTAATATTTAATGCACATATGCTATGCTTATGGTAAATACTATTACAGATTGAATATATTATTCCAATAAATGTAAAAAATAAAATAAAATAAATTGAGTRTATATTACTGTATTTATAWTGTATATATTTATAGTATGTGTTAATACTATATTACAGACTAAGTATATTATGTAGGCAATAGGCATGTAGGATCATGTAGTCATAAATCTAGTGGCCTTTTTTCCCCCCTGTTCAAAAACCAGGAACGGGTGGGAACTGTTCAACACAATACTGCCACAGCTGTGGCCTAAATGCACTTTTGATACCATACCTGATTAAAAATATTTTTATTTTTTTACAAGGAAATGTAAGATTGTCGGGATTTGCTTTGATGACRATTTATTATAAATCATAATATAATATTAAATATGGATAAAATTTTCAATATTGTTTTAAAAAGTGTAAAAATGAATTTACATAATATTTATAATATAATAGGTACGTATTACATAGGTACCTATTAATTAAACAATATTTATAAAAATAAAATTTATAAAATAAACAATATTATTGGTACACCACTTTTGCAAAAGTACGTATAGATACAACTTAGGTACCTATATCACTATATTAAATTTAGACAAAAATTATAATAATTAGTAAGTACCTACATTTAATAATAACTATGTACAATTAGGTACGATAAAAAGGATCTGGTTAGGTGCCAATAAGGTACCAATAATTTATTGTAATAAAAAATCTTCTAAATACAATTTTGTTTTAATAAAAATTCAATTTTACCTTACTCGATTGTTTGTCATCGCGTAATTCTACTAGATACGAACCGCTCATCATTTGAGTTGTGTATTTTTCATAAGTTGTCCGGATTAACGAATCTAATGGCTGTAATTGATCGTATAGTTTTTTGATACTTTTAGTTGTTACACACAATTGGATGTTAGACTTGTGAATTTTGCTTTCTAAATGACTGTATTGATACAATTTTTTTTTTTTTTTTTGATAAGTAATATATAAGCCATAAGGCATTAATAGTTAATACTAATATACTACAATAGTAGGTAAAATAATTTTTTGTCAAGAAAACTGAATGTTTACAATGTCATTGTGTATAGAATATAATATATTTTTAAATTTCCTACAACAATAATACAACCAAAAGCATTATTCTTGATTTAAATACCTAATTTTGTCTAAATTTGAACTCAAAATAATTATAGAAACTGAAATTACCTATATATATAATTTAGTTTTTTTTTGATTGCAGAATAAACTGCATATGTGGAAAATTTTTTAAAATGTTTAATCCTTAACTATAAAAATTGAAAATGTTATGAATTTTCAACCACAAAATAATTTCTAAATTTTTAATTTGATAAATTTTGTCAACATTTTAAATTTAATTCCCTATAATAAAATCGTCTCTAAATGTATTTTTAATATTTTTAAATTAATATTATGACAATGTAGTGTTATGAGCTTTATATTTATTTTAAAGGTTTTGACCCAACGAATAACATTTGATTGACATATTATTAATATATTATAAAGAAAAAAACTAAATATAATAATATTAAGATTGAAAATGTACGTAAAAAGCTCAAAAACAGTCGAAATATTTTTATTAAATAAAAATTTAGTGTAAATTACAAGTATCAACGACATTATTAGTTTTTGAGTAGTAAAAAGAAAGAACATCGTTCCATGATAAATCGAGTGAATATTTATTRTTATAAGGATTTGAATTTCAAACGCTCGTACAAATTTAGTTTGACTTTCGGGTAGACAATAATTTGAGAATCTACGTGATTTTGTATTATTTGTAAAAAATATTGATTTTTGATATTTGTTGATTGGTATATGAACGCAAGTTATGAGAAACCTTTAAATTTTAAAAKTTTTTGACCAAAGACCAAGGGCCAAAAGTCAAATTTTTAATCGACGGAAATAATATGAATATATGATGTAACCAAAAGTTTATGTTTTGGAAGGGTCATAGTATAGATTTTATTATCTGGTTGAGAATTCAGATACGCCCATCAGTTTGCAGGGGAATCCTAGTTTACAACTCGACAATTTTAGGGATTTTCACTTTATTATTCATTTGGACKGAAATAAGTCGCTTTCTAACGCATCAGCCGTCATTGAAAACTAAACTTATGATAGTACAGACATGACAAAAAATATTGTTCAGCCATCAGATAATGTCAACATTGAACTTGACTATCTCTAAAAATACATTGGTACTTATAAGCKTGATGCGCAGGTCTTCTTGGCAAGGGAGGCAGTAAGTACCTTAGATCCAGACTCCGACCCCCCCCCCCGATTTTTCCTAGTTAACTCCTTGATGTGAGGCAACGATAATTTAAATAAATCCTCACACAAAATCAAGTATATAATTCTATTAAATCATGATATTGTTCTATGCGGTTAAGAGTTAGATTAAACATAAAATTATCAAAAAGCTTTTAATAAGTTCTTTCTAATAATAATATCTTTATTTACCAAGGAGTTATAATAAAAAATAATTAAAAAYACATAATGAAAAAAATTAATAAATAAGAAAACATAATTTGAAAAACTTTTAAAATATAGGTAAGTAAAATGTTTTATTAAAGTTCTATAGTCAGGTACCAGTATACCAGTACTGAATATTGAACATTTGAAAATATACATATAGTTATTTAAATGTTATCAAAAATTGGTAGGTATAAGATATTGCTGAAGCAGAAAATCTCGCAGGAGAGACATGTGCCTCCCCTGTACTTATGTAATACAATATTTTAATTTGGGGTATGGAGTGACCAAGCACCGTCGCCGGTCACGGGCGGCACCTCTCTTCGTACAGTCACTGTGTCTGGAGAGAGAGGCCTCCATCCCCCATCCGGCAATGTCAGAACTCAGAAACCCAAAAACTTACACTCTACAGTCCCAAAACCCAACAGTACCAACCAATCTACAGCTAATGGCCTCAGTTGCCGAAGCTTAAAAACAAAATAAATAATACAAATAGGCGTACAATATTGTACAGCATACACCTTACATAACAATGACTTATTAGTTATTAATATTATATAATTTATACTTACTGAATATTATTTTCATATTCAACTCCTAAAATATCACGCTTTTGATAACTGTTCATCATGAGCTTATTCCTCTTCTTCGATTCGAATAATTCGTCATTTAATATTTTTAGAACTCGCATGTTTTCATTTCGTTTTGTTCGAACATCGTTAATATAGAAAATTGCATTTTTTAAATCTACAAATTGTTTTTATATTTCAATATTTAACCTTTAAATAACAATTAATACATTTAAATAAGAGATATTAATAATAATAACCATTTATTACATTTTAACTGAAAATTAGTCTTATAACAATTACATTTAGCTATTAGTTTTATATTATATGTATATGGGTATTGGGTACTACAATAAGGATAGGTTTTATATTATATATAGGTACTACAACAAACAACACAAATTAAAAACATTGAATTAAAATTCAAATGGTATCTACAATTTATTTTTACCTTTTAGTTTTTAATTTAAATAATTTGTTGTATTTACCTAATAGTAAAATACTGAACATAATTATAGAGAAAATAATAATTCATAATTTTAACATACATAACTGTTAATAATAATAATACTCTTGCACTTTATAATAGTTATGTGTATCTCTATTCAAACTTAACTTATTTTAAACATTTATTATATTATACGGCTATACAGAAATAGGTACCTACATACGGAMCATTAGTATGACAGTATTTGATATGTACAGAGGCGRACCAGGGTGAAAAATTAATTAGGGACCGGTTTTTAAATTTTTTTTTTTACTTATTAAAATTTGTAGAKTTCTGCATAACAATAGTAAAGAGTAAAATGTAAGAAAGATCCCGACAGTGGTATTCGGGCCCAAATATAATAATACTTATTTTATTGCACCCTGGTACAGTCCGCATCTGGATTATATGGTACATAATATATCGTATGATGATTGATACAATTTGATGTTTCACTATTATAATTTAAATTTAGAGTTGGCATTATAATTTAAAATAAAAAATATTGGTAACATACACACATGGTACATACAATTCTTAAGATAATGAAAAGGCGCACTTGGGCGGGTGTTCAGTCTCCCTCCCACAAATATTTGCGTGCCCTTTTAAACATTTTTCTTATTTCTATWATTAAAATTATTATCCAGACACTTAAACATTTWAAAATTGTGTTTTGGTTTCCAACAAAAAAGCTGATAATATTATACGATTATTATAGTAATATAACTATGGAAGACGAAAAAATCTATATTAAAACCTGTTAATTAAAATGTTTATTAATTATGACGGATACGATAACACCTATAAGTTCATAACAGACTAGAGTAAAAGAAGCTTTCCGCTACATCGAACAAAAACGTCGATTGTGAATGATTTAAAACAGGTTTTAGGTAATCAGTAATCACTATGTCTATTATTCATATAATGACAAATAAATATCAAATACAATTGACGAATAATTGAAATAAATCATTAATAATTGTTACCTGTAGCCTATAGGAATAATATGTAAATGACTAGAAAACTATTAATATTATACTAAAAATGTATATCCTTCAATATTATCCTAGTTTCTTTTATAACTAGTAACTACTATAACTTAACTTACTATGATTAAATATAATTATACATTTTAATGAGATATTATGCTGAAAATCTCCATTGTAATATTAATTTTATTAATATAAAAGTTTTTGATAAAATTACTTGTATAGTTAACAATTAAAATATGACTTATTTTGGTAATATTTGTGTTAGAGAAAACCCGTTTAAATTGATAAAAGAGTTTACAGTAAAATGTTTTAAACGAATAATTGATAGTGTACAAAATATTATTATTTTTTTATATATACTATTGAATTCAAATTTTAAGTACAACTGATGATTTGGTGCATAATATTTCTGTTTTATACAATATTATGTTATAATATGCATAATGCATATATAAATGAGCAATTATATTGGCGTTTTTAATTCCGTAAATTTAAATTTAACACTGTTGTATATACCGCTGTATAATGGCTAAAACTTGGGGCCCAGTCCAGTCAGCATTTTTATTTATTATAACACGAGACCCCGAGCYTGGAAACATTAAACAATTGGGCTCACCTTTTTTYCTTTATCTACAGATTTATATGGAAGTAATAAGTATTTTCATGAAAACATTGTAGGTATTTTTCGAGCGTAGATTAATATTATTAAAACTTAAAATAATACATTAATCACATAATACTATAAAATATTATAACAGATTAAAGTATTTAACGCCTATATTGAGCTAAAGGTTCTGCAAACGGACGGACCATTTAACTTGACTATATATATTATTTGAGTATACACGAGTTAAATATGGAATTATTTAAATATATCGTACTAGACTATTATTGAATTATGTATTAAGGTAACTATAATTAATAAATAGGTGTTAGTATTAGGTACTATGATAATATTAGTGTGTATGATATTTTTGGAAATCATACTTTCAACAATCTCTTGTTCCGTAAAATGTATATTGTTCATTAACGTATTTATAGAGGYCAATGTGTTGCAGTTCTAAAGCAAATTTTTATAAACACGATCAATATACACGAATAATTAATGTTTTAACTGTTTTGTATAAAAAATGAATATAAATATAAAAACGAATAACAATAAATATATCGTAGAAAATTATAAACAAAATTAAAATTGTTTAATATAAATATAAATTAAAAAATAAAAATATTAATAAAAAATAAAAAATATCTGTAGCACCTACGATACTAGGTACGTATTTACTACATACCTACATTAAAACACAAGTATTTTAAATATTTTAAATATTTAATGTATTAATAGAAACGACATAGGGGAGGTTATATTACGCACATATATTTTAAAAATTATTAGAAAGTTTAAAAATCACCAAATATTTAATCGGAGTTGAAAAATATTTCATAGGTACTATCGAAAGTCAAATATCCATCTTCTTAAATTTATTGTATGGGTACTTTAGGATGCTTTAAATAAATGTACGCTGATAATTTTAAATACAATTATTACCTGTCGATAATCCATAAGAAATGTTTCATTCGCAAGATTATGAGTTATCAGAAAATCAGGCCAAGTAACATCGTATAATAAACTTCTAGAATGTAAAACTTCAAGTAATTAAGAAAATATTCTAATGTAAGCAAAATAATTAATAATATCGCAACATTAATAATCTGAGCATAATAAAGTTAATTGATAAACAAATAATTTAAGTTTTTTAATTATATGCCTGAAATTATATTAAAAAAGAATCACTCACTTGCTCTGTGTAATTGAATTTAATGGTTTCAAAACGTTTGTTTGGGTAAGAGAATCTATTAATGTTCTTAGTTCTTTATACATATTGAAAAAATTAAATTCTGAGTTGATCATGTCTTTACTTAAATTTCGTTTCATATATTCTCTAGGTAAATATTTGAATTACGTTTGTGAATATTTAATTTAAATATTATATATATTATACTTTTCACTATTTTTAAATTCAAAATCCAGAAGCATTTCTTTTGAAACTGCTTTAATACTTGTATCTAATTCATTAACACTTAACTTAAAATCAGTAACTTGGTTTTTTAATTGACTTTCAATTGAGTTAATTTGTAGCAGTATTTCCAAAATCTAGCGTTTAAATATTTATTTTAAATTTCTTAATACACATAATTAGTATTAGGTAACGAATGAGAATTTAGTTGAATAAAAAAAAATTATGTATTATGGTATTCGATTTATTATTGTACTATACTATTTTCTTTTTTATATACTATAACTATATATAATGATTATTATTGGTAACTTATTGTCAACATTTTATTTGTTAGACAATGAATATTATTAGATGCTGATATATACTATACAATTAAAACATAGTTTAAGCATACCATTATATCTACTTAATTGATGTAATTAAATTAAGCTATATCAATTTAAATTGGTATACAAAGTTTTTTTAGATAAATTCAGACATTTAGTGAAGTATTTTAACTGATGAAGACACAATAATGAGATTGTTAATTAAACTGTTTAAAAATATTTATTTAATAAAAATGGATAATTGAAACAATTTTACCAATTTATAGTTGCTTAATAAATGGCTAATCAATAAATATTTATCCGATTTAGAATTTATAAATTTGATCATATTATCAATAATTCAATAGTAAATAATATCTGTTATATTATAATTGTATCTGTATAATTATAAACTGTATATTCTGCATGTCTTATATAAGAGTAACATCAGGCGGCGACCGCTTTTCGTCCGGTTTTGTAAGGCATAATTATCAGTTATATCAGTTTTCGTCTAATTTCATCATCAGAAATGCGTTACTCTTATATGTGAAAGAGACACAGAATCTCCGATGTGAAATCTGATCAAATTAATAAGAATAATAAAATAATAAATTATCGAATCTTTTGGTATACTTTTGTATTATTTAACKTATTTTGTGAATTTAATTGATTTTGTACGTTTAATGATGCATGTAACGCTGTATTAACTTCTTGAAATATAAGTTGAGCTTGCTCAATTTCTCCTTTGATTTTTCTCAGTGATAGTCTATAATGAATTTAAGATTAGAAATCTGACAGAAACATAGAATGTATTATATATTAATACAATAAGACCTCTGAAATAAATGCGTTGAGTTCAATATAGTTAATAATCTTTGTTTTGATTCAATCATTGCTTTATTTTTTTTTAATTTTAGTTCCATTGATTTTACTGGTTGGGGATTAAATGAATCTTTGTAATATATAAAACTATCTAAAAATCAATTTCCAAAACTAATTAAAAGTATATAATATAATATTATACGTACTAAAACGTATTTAATATCGTTAGTTTTACTACCAGACAATTCTTTATCAGTTCTTAAATATTTGTGCACTATATCTGCTTTAATTATTCGTTCTTTAATATCCAAAATCGATATATGGCAGTTTTCTAACAATCTAAGTTCACTCAACATATTAATATACATACTTTTTTTGTGATCGAATTCAAAAGGTTGTTCTAATAAAAACATTAAAAATACAAAAAATATGATTTAAAAATATTGATTAAAGGATATACTACTTGTTAATATTGATGTAATATAATCAAAAATTAAATTAACCGGGATCATTTTTATAAACTATTTAATTATAAATTATCTAATTCATTAACAGTTAATGCATCATATTGCTATGGTAACGTTTACATTTATGTTCCGAGTGTTTTCAACCGGTAGGTTGGTTTTTAATTGTTAAATTATTAAGATAAATACAATGTACAAAGTTATAAATGGGCGAAACATATCTATTTCAAAAACCTGCGCGGAAAAAGAACTCGAAAATATCAACCAGGTTTTTTAAACTCATTAAGAATATTATATTAACCTTACTTTTAGATTTAGAAAGAAAAATTATACTTTTAAACTAAAGAAAAAAACTACGAAAATATATGCTCAGTATTGTAAAATAATTAGCTTTCTGACACAAGTGTTAAAAATACTAACAACAATTATTATGTCTAGAAGAATGAAAAGTAAGATAAAAGCTGTATCATTAAGAAGATCAGTTAGTGTTTACGAAGAATATAAGTACAAAAGAAGGAATATTGGTTTTAAGTGAAATAATTGAAAGAAAATACTAAACTGAGAAAGATAAACCACTATTTATGGCTATTTACAACATATTATATAGCTATTGTAGATATAAAAAGCGTTTGCAAATGGTGGCAAATGTTGAGGATGCTGAATGGGGTTAATAACTAAAAAATTTGATCATAGATAGATTGATAGTGTTTTGTAGATACCAAAATGATATTGATCATAATGTCAGATGATCTTTTCATTTGACAAAACCATATTCGACATAGCTTTCAGATACCATATATCGTGTCTGGTGCGGTACTGCGGTTTACCTACTCATCATCGCTGTGTAGAGCAGACTTTTCGAACGACACGTGTCGCTCACGCCGCTGCTGACCAGCTTGATGTTGTCTCTGTTTGTCGTTATTTTGATGCTGAAGCTGATGCGGATAGTGTTGATGCTGACGTTGTTGGTATTCAAAGTTATACTGTTCATGTTCGTGATCATGCAGTTGTATGGCATGGTTTTTATATAGCAGGCCATCGTGGATATGTCGATTATGTTGTAGCTGAAAATGGTAACTATGAAGTGGCTGACGTAGATGGTCATGATAAATGTTATCAACAACGTGATGCTGCTGTTTATGAATATACATGACAGCTGAAAGCGATGAATTCTCCATTCTTTTTTGATCGTTAGGTTCACTATCGTTGTACTCACTATGCGTGCAGGATGATCTTAGTGCCTTTGGTGTATACTCTGTAAACATAAAATGTACGGACGTAATGTACGAAAGCCATCCATTACGATTTTACGAATACTGACAAGCCTATGTAAGTATAACAACTTGCATTATTCATTTACAATAATATTGTATCCCATAGAGATAGACGGAACATTTGAATTGAAGACAGGGAGGCGTGGTCGTGTCAAACGAAGAGAAATACCTTGAGTTTTATCATAGGAGTAAGATAAATGGTACTGTTCAGAGAACAACCACTATAATAATATAGCTTTAAGCAACCAGTGGTCGTAACAAGTTCCACCCACTTGCACACGTATCATATCTAATGTTTCGTCTAAATCTATAAGTCTATGACAATACCTAGCAATACCTAGCAATATTAATTAAATATTTTTAGTTTCTAAGATAACAACAAATTGTTTTATTAATGAACCAAAATCAGTGTTTTATAAGTTTTTATAAGCTTATCAGTTATTGCTATTGCACAACTTGTTGTCGTATAATCGAATTGTTAACCCGAATCAAAGGTTATTTATCCCTAGGGTTGACGGTATTTTCGGTATACCGTAAATACCGGTCTTTTGAAGTTAATTTCCTAAACGGTATACCGTAAAAAAACCGAATAAACGGTATATCTACCGTAAAAACGTGTAGTTGTGCTGGTAATGTCATTACACTGATCACCGATACTCGCATTGTCTCCAGAACATGCAGAAGAGTTAATTTTCTATCTATGAATGCCAAGTATATTTCTTAATGACTTGCCTACTCACTGTGGCATATAGTGCACCTACCCAAATTACTGTTGTTAGGTACGTTTTTAAATTATTATTCTTTCACAAGACGCGACATTATTATATTAATTTCTTTTTCTTTTTTGTTTGATTCCTGAGTAAAATAAAGTAAAACTTTATGATTGTAATAAATATATATACGTATATATGAATATTTCTTAAAGTTATCTTACTAACATGATTTACAGTGAACTTTTTATATATTGTAATGATATGCTCACACATCATGATTGTATGTTGTTTAAATA